TAAGACTTTAAAAAGTCTGGTTGGAAATGTACTGTGAGTGCCACATAATGTGGCAATGTATAAAACACAGAAATGAGAACACAACAGACACAGACAGAGAATATGTTTGGGGTGTGGTCCCAATCCTGAACTTTAGATAAAGGTTCATTATTTAGGACCAAAGAAGTGAAAAGGTCACTAGTACACAACCATTCAGTCTCCTCTGGAGCCACAGCTTCACCATGTGTCTGGTCCATCTGACCATGAATAGACTGCAGCTTAAATGCTATCAGCTCAGATTCAATTCTAAAATTCTTTACTGCAACTTAATTTCACCGTCCATTAGCATGCTGCTAAATGACTGTGTGTTTTGGTGGTAGTGGTAATGGGAAAGAGACAATGGAAATGAATGCTTCACAGACAGAGAGAGAATAAAATGTAGGCTGGAGTAATGATGCATTTCTTCAAAAGAGTGTTTGATTCAGGTAAAGACAGGAAAGGTTGAGCTGCAGTGTGCGTGCTTCTGTCCATGCTGCAACCCAACACAATAGATTTTCACTCTCTTTTTTTGTAAAGTTAAATTGGATGTGTTATAATGCTTTATATCAAGAATTTACTGTTTGACATGTTTGGTGTCCTGCGACCGTACTTTTCTTTCCCTGGTGAACACGTGGGTAGATTCAGGTTGTGGTTTGTTCTGTCAGAGGTTTCTTGTGCTGTAGAAAAACTTTCCTCCCTCCTGTGGTGAGTATCAGGTATCATCAACATATATACACTAATAACCTATAAAAGATGACACATCTCATTTACCCTGGTCAGTCTGTTTCTAGTCTGTTGTTGGGACCCAACCAGCACTGATCAGCATGAGACTGAGGCTGTGTCCGGTCAGTAAAAAACAACTTAAATATAAATACAATCAGTGTTTATATTTAAGTCAGGGCAGCTGTGGCTACAGTGTAGCTGCCATCACCAGGGTGTGAATGTGTGGATGACTGAATGTCGTGTAAAGTGCTTTGGGGTCCTTAGGGACAAAGTAAAGCGCTATACAAATACAGGCCATTTACAAAGAAAGAACAATACAGTATCCACATCTGCACCAAATCTTCAGCAGTCTTCCACACCAGCCTATTAATCAACCAAAGACCAAGACAGACTTTTAATTCATTTGAAAGCCTGATGCTTAGCCTCGTCCACCCCAGCTGTGAAACTCAGAAACCAGTCTTACTTGTTATCATCTATCGTCCACCTGGGCCTTACACAGAGTTTCTGTCTGATTTCTCAGACTTTATATCTAATTTAGTTCTGAGCTCAGATAAAATAATTATTGTGGGTGATTTTAACATCCATGTAGATGCTAAAAATGACAGCCTCAACATGGCATTTAATCTGTTATTAGACTCAATTGGCTTCTCTCAAAATGTAAAAGAACCCACCCACCACTTTAATCACACTCTAGATCTTGTTTTAACATATGGCATAGAAACTGAACATTTAACAGTGTTTCCTGAAAACCCTCTCCTGTCTGATCATTTCCTGATAACATTTACATTTACAATAATTGATTACACAGCGGTGGAGAGTAGACTTTATCAAAGTAGATGTCTTTCTGAAAGCGCTGTAACTAAGTTTAAGAATATAATCCACCCACTGTTATCATCTCCAATGCCCTGTACCAACACAGAGCAGAGCAGCTATCTGAACGCTACCCCAACAGAGGTCGATTATCTTGTTAATAATTTTACCTCCTCACTACGTACGACTCTGGATACTGTAGCTCCTGTGAAAACTAAGGCCTCAAATCAGAAGTACCTGACTCCGTGGTATACAGTGGTCCCTTGTTTATGGCAGGAGTTACATCCTGCCATAAACATCGCGATAGCTGAAATCTCCAAAGTAGCCAACTTTATTTTTTACAGTTATTTCTGATGTTTTAAGGCTGTAAAAGCCCTCACTACAAACTTTATACACTTTTCTCAGACAGGCATGAACGCTTTCACACTTTTCTATCTTGTTTAAACGCTCTCAAAGACCTTTGCAGAAAAGTAAGTCCAGTATTATAGAATGAAACCAAAGGCACCAGCAGGTGACGACATTTCGCCGACGTTGTTGTGTTTGTTGTGGAGAAAACTTACAAACATAAAGCACTTCCGAGTCACACTGCTAACAATCAAAGATTTATGTGAATTTGACAAGCTGAATGCAGTCTGTACTGTACAGGAGACACAGCACGAGAATAATTGGCAATGGTCTACCTACAGCCAATCAGGATGCAGAGCACAATGCGCTGTAAAAAAGAAAAAAGAAAAAAACATGCACAATTGCACAACCAAAATAATCTGCGAAACAGCGAGGCCACGAAAGGTGAACCACATTATAGCGAGGAACCACTGTACTTCTCAAACACGTAGCCTAAAGCAGATAATCTGTAAGCTGGAGAGAAAATGGCGTGTCACAAATTTAGAAGATCATCATTTAGCCTGGAGAAATAGTTTGTTGCTTTACTTAAAAAAAAGAAAAGAAAAAAAAGCAATGCTGAACTACTGTAATTCATTATTATCAGGATGTCCTAAAAACTCCCTGAAAAGCCTTCAGCTGATCCAAAATGCTGCAGCAAGAGTCCTGACAGGGACTAGAAAGAGAGAGCAGATTTCTCCTGTTTTGGCTTCATGTTAAATCCAGAATTCAAAATCCTGCTCCTCACATACAAGGTCTTAAATAATCAGGCCCCATCTTATCTTAATAACCTTGTAGTACCATATCAGCCTATTAGAGCACTTCGCTCTCACACTGCAGGCCTACTTGTTGTTCCTAGAGTATTTAAAAGTAGAATGGGAGGCAGAGCAGCATGTCTTTATCCTTTCTACCTCCCCCAATCACAGCAGATGGCCCCGCCCCTCCCTGAGCCTGGTTCTCCCGGAGGTTTCTTCCTGTTAAAAGGGAGTTTTTCCTTCCCACTGTCGCCAAAGTGCTTGTTGGGGTTTTCTATGTATGTCAATACAATTACAATATAAAGCGCCCTGAGGTGACTGTTGTTGTGATTTGGTGCTGTATAAATATATTGAATTAAATAGCGTGGGTTGTCTATCGATTCAGTGCCTGGCTGTTTGAGTCTGTGTGTTGAGGTATTCTTGTGTAAGATACTGAATCCCAAGCTGCTTCATTGAGGGCAATTTGTATGAAAACATGGTGCTAAAGGATAAAAACAGAAGGTGCTTGGGTGTTTGAACAATAGTAGTAAAATTATTTTTAGTGCTCAGTTAGAGAAGAAAAGCACAATACAATATATAGACTGTGTGTGTGTGTGTGTGTGTGGTGAGAGAGATGTGCTTAAAAAGCTGTTAAGGGTCATGAAGGAACAGGTGATGCACATCAGAGCAAGCATCCAGGAAACATTAAAGGCCAAGTGAAAAGTGTAAACTGGGAGATTCTGTTAGTACAACAAAATAAAGCAAAAACACTGTGAAAAGTCTTTTGTGCGCTCTGCTGAGAAGGTGATTGGCTGCAGACTCCCATCTCTGCAGGACCTGTATACCTCCAGGACACTGGGGCGTGCAGCTCGGATCACAGCTGACCCTTCTCACCCTGGACACAGTCTGTTTGACCTGCTCCCCTCAGGCAGGAGGCCTATCCGGTTGTTAAGTGATGACGTGACGAATCCTACTTCCGGGCCTAAAGTAGTCTGCGTTTAATATGGCTTTTGTGTTGTTAACATGTTTAATGTTTTGTATTTTCTTCTATTTGATCTCAAAAAGCTCCTAAAACAGTCAGTGATCACTGTTGACCTCCCTCGGCTTTTATTACCACTAATCATTTATTTAAGCTCAGTTTTTAAAACCTTAGGATGTAACTACAGCCCAGCCCATGCAGCAGTATATGAATGACTAACCTCGTATTGTGGATGGATTATCTCAGTTGTTCTCCTGGCTGAAGTTTGGTCCTTTTACAGCATCCTGCCATGCGATTACATTTGTTCCTGACCACCGAGAACACTCACGTTAACTTTTATCAGTGGAAAAAAAGTTAGCTTGTTTATATTATGCTAACATAGCTGTGTCGCTAGCGGTCACGTAGCACATCATTATATACCAGCTAGCCCAACTTCAGTAACCCTACAAACGTCACTGCTGTTTAGTTTTCTGTCTTCATTTATGCTGGAAGTGATAGCAGAGCTGTACGTTTTAATTTGTTTCCAAAACCCCGCAGTCAGGACATGCTATATTGTATTTAGATAGAAGCTAGCGAGCTAACTCCCTGCTAACTTCTAACTCCGTTAAATGTCATAAATTCCGTTTTCATGGATGCCTGGATGTTAAACTCAATTGTTACACCTGGTAGAGCAGAACGCTGATCATTTTATTAAAGATGAAAGACTTTAGACAGTTTTTCAACTCTCAGTAATGCCATAGTGATCGTTTGATATATGGACCTGCAGCGGAGTTTAGGCCCAGACACGGCTAGTGACGTCAGACTGAACAACCGGATAGAACAGTTTCTTCCCCTCTGCTGTTGGACAATGAACAATACACCACAAACACATGACCCGATACTGTGTTCTCTGCATCTGTTCCATTTTTGCACTGATCATCACCTGCATTCATGTATATATTAATCTGCTTAGCACTTTTAATTTTTCTGTTTATTTAAGTGTAAACCTGCTCAACATTTGGCATTAAAACCCTTTCTGATTCGGATTCCCACAAAATCATTGAATGATCTGGATGAGACGTCTCAGTAATATTTTTGCCATGAAGTTTTATGCTATGGGACCAGAATAGATTATCAAAAGTAACCTTTAACTGTCTTCATATGTCAGTTGGCAGCAGCCTTGTGTTACAGATTATCAATGTTTCTATCGTTAGAAATTAATAACATTATTATATACATTTGTCCAAATTTCCTTCCATTTGGTACATCCAAGAGAAGGTGAGTGATAAAGTTTGGATTTCAGAAGAGTTGATGTACTGTGCTTGAATGTTTGAGCATGCATGGTGGATGTTCAAGCACTGTACTTTTCCCCTCAGGTATTTCCACACCATCTACCTGGGTGTTCGGAGTCGTCAGGGTGCTGAGACGGAGCGCTGGCGTTACTACTGGAGGATGGTCTATGAGTTTGCAGATGTGAGCATGCTGCATCTACTGGCAACCTTTCTGGAGAGCGCTCCACAACTGGTGCTTCAGCTGTGCATTATCATCCAGACACACAAGCTCCAGGCTGTGCAAGGTAGTAGCCCCACACACATTCAAACAATGCTGCACAATTGTGTGAACATACTGATGCCAAACATTTTTATATATGACTTGTATTTTTATAGCGCTTTACTTAGTCCCTAAGGACCCCAAAGTGCTTTACACTACGTTCAGTCATCCACACATTCACACACTGGTGATGGCAGCTACATTGTAGCCACAGCCATCCTGGGGCGCACTGACAGAGGCGAGGCTGCCGGAATAGCTGGGGCACACGGCAGGTGCCTACAGGCACTCCAAGGTGTTACGGCCAATCTGACTGATTTGTTGCACTCTGACCACCACCAGTAGGCAACGGGTGAAGTGTCTTGCCCAAGGACACAACGACCGAGACTGTCAGAGCTGGGGCTCGAACCGGCAACCGTCCGATTACAAGACTAACTCCCAACCCTTGAGCCACGATCGCCATGATTGTAGCTGAAGCTGGTAGAGCTAGTTGTTTGTGTGTACATGCTATCTTATGGATAGAAATGATTCTTCAAAGTCACATGTGAATTTGAATTCTGCCTGTAATTCTGTGTATAGACAGAATTTCTAGGTGCAGCCAGCGAGCAGAGGGTTTGTGGTTCAGGTGACTCAAGATCACAACTGTGGTTTTTGCAGATTATTTGATTTTGTTGGCTTCATTTAGCCATTTATTTAGCCCTCATTTATGGTCTTGGTAGAAATGAGCTTCTCCAAATCAAAGAAAGCTAGCTGAGGTGGTTCAGACATCAGGCAAGGATGCCTCACAGGCACATCCAAGGTGTTATGGCCAAGTCTGACTGGGAACCTGCTTGTGAGTTTTACCAGTATTTCTGATTTGTTGCACTCTGAACTTTAATTCTCAATAATATAAATGAATAATTCTCTGATTCCGTTAGCTTTAAAACCTTTTCAGTCAAATGGCTGTAGTTAAACATCCAGTTCTCTCACCCGGGGCGTTAGTTCATCATCCTGGATGTGCAAGACTTGCTGCAGTGTCATGGTCATGTAATGTCCATTTCCTAATTATGCAATAACCTGTGAAGCAGATGAAAGATCAGGACGTTTTTTTTAGTAGCTTAGCACTGAATCTGGAAATATGAGGCCCAAAGAAAAGTGTGTGCTAAAAAATAGCTAAAAAGAACAATCAAAGAACTTTTACTTGGTCAAGAAAAAAACATTTACGGCATCTACCCCATGACTAGAAAACTCTGGAGGAGAAAGTCTACATATCAGGGTTTTTACAACAAGATGCACATGATGAAACGCTTACTGCAAAAACAACCAATGAGTTTCTCTAGACAAAGACGTTGGATATCTTGTTATGTTGCTGAACATGACAAGATGTGTTACAGTTCAATTTTATTTATATATATTTTATTTATATTGCACCAAATCATGAGAACAAAGGTTCTAATTATGCAAATGATTCAAGGTGGAATAAGAATGCTCTGGAGCAGTATCTGTACCTGCTGCATTCATCTTTCCAAGTGTGGTGTCAGGTTTATATTGTTGATTGTCATTTATGCTTAGAAATATTTATTCATATATGCTTAGAGTTTTATAATCGATTGCATAATGATAGAGGTCTGATCCGTAGCAGCCTGCAAAGACTCTGTGTGCCTCTGTGACAAAGTGGAGGAGCAGTTGCAATGCTCTCCATTTGTCCCATATGTGTTTACCTTTTTTTGCACATTGTACACATTATTCTGTTTCTATGTATTTGCTATGATTTGCTATTTGTCAAGTAACATTGCTTCACTCACTATCCCGTTTTTGGTAGCGTTTTGTTGCCGGAAATCAAACATGCTGCAAATTAAGGCAAATACTCAGTTACATGTTTCTTTATATTTTATTATGTTACAGATTAAGTCATTTGTTCATACTTGTCTTTTCAGTCTTCATGAGGGTCAGGTGTGGGGAAACGCCCGCCTGGCATTTCCTCATTTTAAAGTCCTGATGATGTCACATATGACATCAGCAGGTCAAACCAAGTGGAGGGGTTTCTTTTTCCATAGAGATGCTTCCTTTTGTTTGTGTTAAGGTTTAAAGAGATTTGTTGAATGTTTTTCCTTTCGTTAATACTGCCATTTAGTTGTGTAAATGTGCATGTTAGAAGTGTGTAGAGGTTTTGTGTTTTTAGATCATCTGTGTAGAGTTTTAGATCCCTCAGTTGAGTGAGTGGTACTGGCTGGGCAATTGGAGGGAAATTGATGGCCCTATTTAAAGCCAGTCTCTTCCAGTGCAGCAGGAGGAGAGGTGAGTTGTGTTACCAGAGCCATGTTGGGTGTGAGTTTGTTAATGGTTGATATTTTTTGGGGGGGGTGTAAGTTACACATTAAATTAACCCCTGGTAGAACTTCAAAATCCCATCCTTTCGTGAACCTCGGGACCAAAAATGGTCCCGCCCCAAAAGTGCTCTAAAAATGTTATATATCAATATTTTTTTCTACTTTAAATTAGTCAGTCTTTTAAAACTACTTCTGCTTAAAATATCCATGTCAAGTTTTAATTATATTTTCATTGTTTTAACCCTTTAAATACCAGTTTGGGTACATGAGCGCCCTGTTTTTTTACCCCAAAAAAACAAAAAACTTAAATATTTTCCAAAAATACATTTGAAGTAATATTTGTTTGTTATTATAATTAGGCCTTTAGATGGACTAAAGATTGGCACCAACAGTCATTTCGATCGCCTTTTATTTTTTTTCCAGGAGCGCATTTCATAAAATGCACATTATCGACCACGCCCGAAAAAGTGCACTGTAAAAAATTTATATTCATTTTTTTTCCACTTTAAATTGGTCAGTCTTTTAGACCTACTTCTCCCTGAACTAGCCATGTAAAGTTTTAATTATATTTCGGGGGTTTTAACCCTTTTGATCGCAGTTTAATTACATGTGCGCACCGTTTTTTTTAGCCGCCCGAAACAAAACGAAATATTTAAAAAAAAAACACTTTGAATTAATATTTGATTGTTAGTTATAATTAGGCCTTTAGATGGACTAAAGATTGGCAACAACCTTCATTTCGATCGCCTTTAATTTTTTTTTTCCGGACCAGAAAATGGTCTCCAGGCGGCAAATGCTACTCCTTTAAGCCGGAATCAGTGCATCCCTCCCGGGTTAACTCCCGACGATGACCGGGGCATGTTGCGTCGGATCCCTTTTTCCAACACACACTTCCGGTACCACGTCACAACAAATACGTCATTTCCTGTTGATTTGAAAAAAAATTACACCCTCAAACGCTCCTAGTGGCCGAAAATGGTCCCGCCCGATCAGCGGGCGAAGCTGCTGCTGCACGCCGAAATTGAGGCTTCATTCCCCGCAGGTCTTTCTAAGCAGCCCGCTGTTGTCGGCTGTTTTCGAGCCCCGGATCAAATTTGGAGCAAGGGCGCCACATGGTGGATAAATAAAAAAATTACAATTCCAAGGCCTCTTGTCCAAAGCAAAAGCGAAACCTAAGCCGTAACCCAGATATTAACGGTCATAATTCTGCAGTGAAAAATAGCGTTTATAAAGGGTTTCAATGGGGCAGAAATCGGCCACGAGGTTCGATAGTGGATGTATGCCTTTTATTCAGCCATTTAAGCTCATTTTAAAAACTCCGACTGAATTTCAAAATAAAATGGGAAAAAAATTCATGTTAGAAAATTTGGCTATACTCCATTAAACACAGTGGAAATGGCGTGGAAACGTAAAACGCAAAGGCCACGAAATGGTCCCAGGTTCGACCAGGTTTTAAGTTCACTGTAAATAAATTGCTCACCTCTGGAAATCTGAAATGTCTGCGTAGTCTGCTTCCCACCACCTTCCTTGATGTTCGAGTCTGACTACTTCACAGCCTCCCAGAGTGCTCTGGCATACACATACATCTTAAGGTCATGAGAGAGGTCGTACCTTCTCTTACTGATTTATGGTATAGGAGGACACCTGCTATGTATCTGCTTAAGTATAAGTGCCTTTTGTTTAGGTGGACCGCTGGACTCCTGGGACCAGCTTTGGGGAGTCATTCACAGGATCACATCTTGACACGCACACACACACATACCTACACGACACACAGACAAAGTACTCTTTGTTCTCATGTATGCCTATGTAAGACGTCATATGTTAATGAACCTATGCATATTCATATAACCACAATAGAGATCAACAGACCACGTGACTTTCGCGCATAATCTCTCTCTTTTT